GCACAGTTGGAAAAGCCCATGTGAAAGTGTTCGAAAGTGATTGCAATAATGACTCTTCTCTAAAGCCGTTAAACATTCTCAGTCCCTCACCGTAGAATCACAAATAACCAAATCGCAATTAAAGAAATTCAGTTGAAAAGAATACATCAAAGAGAAAAATAGTTGTTAAAATCCTATCCTTTGCATCATCATAAATAAAAAGTATGCCCGCATGGGTAGCTCAGTTGGTTAAGAGCGTGAAATCTTGGACCGATGACCAGGGATCGAATCCTGCAAGCGGCAGTGTGGGAGCTATCCAAAAATCCCATAAAGGGTGAGGAGGCTCCTTGTGCGCGGTGGGCACGGGTCTAGCGTTCTTGGCCGATGATAGAATTTGGGATGAGTATGGACAACTGGATTGGGCAATAAGACACTTGGGTTGAACCACATTAAAAGATTGAATCCAATTGATTAGTTAGTTTAACTCAAGAGTTTATATACCGGATTATTTAACTCTTGGACATCCGATGTGGGATGCACTCTAACACTCCCCCTCAAGTGGACAACCGGGCCATTTTGAATCTAACCGGTTGACCACTTGCAAATGAACTCTCATTCCCTTAATTTTTTTTTTGAGCGTCAACACCTAAAGGACCACGAGCCGCTGAGTATGGACTTCCAGACGAGCAATCGTGTTAAACGGGCCACAGGCCGTTGGATACATACTCCATACGGACAACTGGGCTAAAGACTAAGTGCCGCTAGGAATGAACGTCTAGACGGACACCTTGACAAACGAGGTGGGCCAAAACCTGCTCTGATACCATGATAGAATTTGGGATGAGTATGGACAACTGGATTGGGCAATAAGACACTTGGGTTGAACCACATTAAAAGATTGAATCCAATTGATTAGTTAGTTTAACTCAAGAGCTTATATACCGGATTATTTTACTCTTAGACTTCCGATGTGGGATGCACTCTAACAGCCGACTGAGTCACCATGATTTACATCCTCCACCATTCCTGTCGGGCAAGGGGGTGGGGTCTGGGGTCGCCTGGGGTGGGCGATTCCACCTTTTTTTTGGACCGATAAATAAAAAGTATGATTATTATAATTGTCATGGATTTTAAGTATGATGATGCTAGGGGTAGGATTTGAGTAACAATATTTTTTTTCAATCAAAACATAAATTTTACTTTTTGTCAATTAAACATACAATCTTTATTTCTTTGTGATAAATTTAAGGCATGCAGTTTGTGCCTTTTTTTTTCTTCAAGTCGACTCTATTAAAAAATTAAGTATAAAAAACTAGGTGAAAAAATTACAGTAAATAGAAGAAAGTAGATCAATAATTTCTTCTTCAATTTTAATCAAATTTTACTCTGTATTTCTACTTACGAAATTAAAACAACATAAAAAGTTCATTAGAACTCACGCGTGATTTCCAAATTTATGTCACGATAAGAGCATCTCCAATCATTCCAATTTGGCTTGCTAAAAGCTATGATATAGCAAGCCAATCATTTTTTTCACCTCCAATGGTTGTGTTATATTATAGCAAGCTTGCTAAAGAATGAGGTTGACTTGAATATAACAAGCTTTTCAAAATATAGCAAGCTAAGAGTTGTAAAATGGATTAGCAACTTATGGTTGGAAAATAAAACAAAAAGTTACTTGCTATATCACTATTCACTTGCTAAAATAATCGCTCTGTCCCTAAATAAACTTCTTTTTTTGACTTTTTGAAGATTTAAGGGAGAGATATTTTTGTGTTGACTTTCCAAAAATATCCTTGATGTGATGTGTAAAAGTAAAATGTGATATGTAGATTATTAATAAAAAGGTATGATGTGATAGGTAGAGTATGAAAAAGTAAGGGGTAAAAGGGGTTTTTTAAAGGAAAAGAGAAGTTTATTTAAGGACAAAGAAGAAAACGAAAGGGGAGTTTATTCAGGGACGGAGGGAGTATAAAATCAGCAAGCCAATATAGTAAGCATGGTTGGAGATGCTCTAACAAAGCCAAAATTTGACATAAGTAGAGTCGTATAGCAAGCTAGAACCACACGAGACTAGACCGAAGATCGAACAAAAAATTTATTGACGAAAGACGGATCCTAAATGCTTTGGACCAAAATCTTTTAGACCGAATTGGTATATACCAAAATGACCGAAATCTAAATGGCATGCTACATGTACCCCAAAATTTCTACCCATTTGTACACAAAAGCTATGTACCAACATTTTGATGGTTCACGCTGACACAAAATGTTGGTGCGTTAACAAAAATTTACATTGACACAAAATGTTGGTACATTAAAAAAAAATAGTATTACATCAACACAAAATGTTGGTGTATCCTTGCGGTGTATAAAATGAGTGATGGGAACCGAGCCCATCGAGAGAATACGAGCAAATTGGGCCTAGGCCCAATCTAGATCCCGTCCATCAAAAGGAGAATCCGGCCCAGAGAAAATATACTAGGCCGGTCAAGGAAAGTTGTCCGTAAGGAGAGATAGGGAAAAGAACAGGATTGGGGCTTAAGGATGGGATGAACCCCAGCCCATTATGAACGAGCCACCCAAGAGCAAGGAACTCTATAGAGGAATTAGGGTAAGCTGCCCCTCAACAGGAGAGACAAAGACAAGGAATAAGGAACAGATGAAGGACAGAGAATAAAGGATGGACGGACAAGTTTGTCCTCCAGTGGACGACTTCAAGCTAAGATACATCCCTCCAGGAAAAGCAAGGATAACCTGAATATACTCCCCAACCACCATAGATATTTTGATGAGATGGTGGCTGTGGAGCGCCTATAAAGGGAGGTTGGACTAAGAGAGGAGGGATCATCTTGTAATAGAGAGAGAAAATACTTGAGTAATAATAAAAGATAATCCGGCGATCCCTAAGTATATTCCGATCACTAGGTGGACCGAATAGAGGAAGGGATCACCAGTTTTGAGTTCCTATTTTGTGAGCCATACTTTCCATTACTATCCATTACTATTAACGTATTATTTCTCACTATTATAAGCCCCGGATACTAGTATTTGGACCTGGGCCGATCTACAGTCCCAGGGAAAATATTAGGCATCCATCACTAGCGCCATCTGTGGGACCGATTGAAGCTTCCTAGCCTTCTGGAAAGTTGATAGCGAGCCTATCTCATTTCTATTCACTTGGGAAGACCTCTCCCTAACTTTGGGACGATAAGCGGTCCATCCAAGTGAAAGGGATAAGCTCGCGGTCCATCCAGAAGGACTCTTGGTAATAATCGGTCCATCACAGAGGACCGCTCTCATAAGTCGGTCATCTAGAAGGACCGATTCCTTATATTAGGGCCGCCCTTCCATATCGGTCCCTCTTTTCCATCAAAGAAGGATTCCTATTGTCATCATGGGCAAAAATCGGTTCAAGAGAAACAGAATCGCTGCTAAGGCGCGAACCAACTTGAAAAGGAGAGAGAAGCTTTCATATTAGGATCTCAGGCATCAAATAACTCTCTCCCAATCCAGGCATGAAACACAAGACAAATCTTGTGAACAGAGTTTACACTCTAAAGCCCCTAAGAGTTCTCATCCAAAAGATTCCCAAACAGCAACAGAGAGGTTCGATGCCAACTCCCCCATAGTCCGAAAGTTAATCGGATGGCTCAATAAGGAATACGAGGTCCGGTCCCAAAAGACCCAGAGGGAGACGAGCCAAGGAGAGGGGGAGGAGGTGGAGAGCCAAGGACGTATATTAGTGCACAAGAGGATGCGCAAAAACGCATCCTAGAGGCTGGGACTCAGAACTGAGGAATGTGGAGAAAATTCTGAGGAGCACAGCAATGAAGATGTCAGGGATATCCTCAAACTGAGGAAAGAAATGGAAGAACAAAAAAGGCAAATCGACAGGGATGGGTCCTTTGGGCCCACAGTAGAGATAATTTCCCCTTTTACTACCAGGGTGATGAAAGCTAAGCTGCCCAGGGGTATGAAAGCCTTTGAAATCCATTACAAAGGAGTCACTGATCCCAATGATCACTTGGCCGCATACCAAACTCACATGCTGATGCACGCAGTAGAAAACGAAATCCAATGTCGCCTTTTCGTAGGGACTCTAGAGGGACTGGCCGTAAAATGGTTCCTCACTCTCCCTAATGGGACCATTGATTGCTTCAAAGATCTCGCTAAACTCTTTCTTAATGCTTATGGAGGAAGGTTCCAGTCGAAGAAGCACTTCACTCATCTCTTCTCCCTGAAGCAAAAAGGAGGGAGAAACCAACACGGAATTAGTGCAAAGATGGAATGAGGCAATCAATGAGGTAGAACCCATGGACGACAAGACTTCCATCGATTTGTTCATGAGCGTTCTGAGATGGGGAGAATTGCTCAGAAGGTTAGATTACGACACTCCTACTTCCTACAAATCTATGATGGCTAGGGTCAACAAGTTTTGCGCCACAGAAGAATCAGATCGCCTAAAGGGAAAGAATGAGGGTGCCTTGCACAAAGGTTTAGACAAAGAGAAGAAAGGCGAGAAAGCTAAGGCAACCACTCTCTCCATCCCTACCCTTAAGCCACTAGTTGCACCAGTGGCAGAAATTATGAGTAAGGAGGGGAGTGGACAGAAAAGGAAACGCGGAGATCAAAAGAGAAAGCAGTGCCCTACGACCCAGATAAATATATTAACTTCCATAGAAGACCCAGACATGCCACGGAGGAATGCATTTTCCTCAAGAAGATGGAAGGACAGATGAAGGAGAGTGGACCGAATGCTAACCAAGAGCCCAACCAAGGGGGTAATGTTTGGCGTAGGGACGCCCAACCTCAACAACAGATCCAGGAGAACCCAGTAGATTTCCCCCAAGTAGGAGTCATCTTTGGCGGTCCAGAAATAGGAATCACAAGCAAGGAGAGGAAGGAATGGGCCCGTAGGCTATATGTGGGGTCCATCTGTAACACCCTAATCTGTCCCGGTCTGCAGCCCCTTTCAGATTAAAGTATTAACTTGGTAATCGTAAAAATTTAAAACATTTCAAACACTTTTATTTATCACAATAATATTTTTCATAATATAAACAGTACGGAGTTTTCAATATTGCGGAAGCTTAACAATCATAATCACAAACATAATTTATTTATGTTCTTTAATTCAAAACCATCACATCCATTCCGACAATCTCGCCTCCGTCTGCCTCCAGGATCACGTCACTTCATTAACCTGCGTGTAGTAGATAAAACATACTACACGCTCATCGTTGAAGCTGAGTAAGCATATCTAATGCATCGAACATCCATATAAACTGAATCTAAATTCATAATCAAATCATTTGATATCATGCACATAATGTTCAGTTCAGATAATCAATAATTATTAAAAATTATTCATCATGCATTATTCAACATTTATATTCACATTCAATGTTCATCAGTCATTCATAATAATTGCAATATCCAATTCAATATTCATCATTCAATATTTACTCATATTCAATATTCAATATTCAATATTCAACATTCAACAATATCCTTAAACT